TTGAAAATTCCTTGTTATTCAAATATTTGCCATTTTGTCTTTTATCACAAAGGTTTCTTGTTTTCTCTTGTTGTTTTTGCATTTTGCTTAACATATTCGTGGAGTAAAAAAATTGTATGGATTGATTTGGGCCGTCAACACGATTAGATAAATGGTAACTACTAAACTTTCCACTACATGACCGTCTAAAAACTTGTATTAAGTAAATATAAAAAATAAAAAGTAAAAAAAAACAAAAAAAACACTTCCCTTATAAATATTTCAGTGATCACGTGGTAATAAAGTCACGTGACCCCTGTCATTATAAAAAGTTAGTAAAAACGTAATTAATTTTAGTTAGTAAGAAAGAACAACCCAGTTAAGTGCATTGCCTTTTCTCCCGCCTGAACAATCAAATTCTCCACAACTCTTAAATGTGAGTTCAATCCCTAGTCTGGGTTGTACAGACTTTGACCCAGCCAAAACCTGGCAAGTAGCAATTGGAATTATTTACATTTAGACTAATATCCTTATCTTTGTTATTATCCCGTTTAGGCTGTTGTGTTCTTCTTTATGTGTAATGTAACCATTAGAGAATGTCGAAATGCAACTCTTTATTTAATCATCGTACTTATATTGTCCTCGATCTGTTGCCCATGTCTAGGGATATCACAACTTGTTTTTATTACTACGGCTCAATTCTTATTTAGCCTAAAGAATTCAAATGTTGCTTTGTAAATGTTTCGCCATAGCAATTGTGTTTTTGTACCTTGGTTTGAGTAGTATATACAATGATTCAGAGGGAAAACATGTGAGCAATATTCACAAAAGCATTTCTAGCAAAACCGACACCACATCAAAAAAAAAAAAAAAAACAAAAAAAAAACAAACAAAAAAACAAACAAGAAGCGACTTACTATATTTAGGGAATCAAATTAACTCTAATTGCTCTCTCATCAAAAAATCAATCTTACAAAATTTAATAATCCTATAAGAAAACTAGAGTAGTTTTCTAAAATAATATTTAAAAAGAATATATATATATATATAAGGTGTATGTTTGTAGTTGTTTTTATTCTTCTTAATGCTCTTTTCTGTTTTATTCAATTGAAATAGGTAGATCTAATCCTACACTATACTCTAATAGATTATTAGAACTTTCTTGTGCATAAACTGCCGAAATGATCTTTGAATCCGAGAGTTTATAAATATATAACATATTAAAAACTTTAATTTTCAGTTTAATTTAATGTTTAATTTTTAGTTCCGAAACATGGCAATTTCTCTGTTGCGATGAAAACATATTAATAATATTATAATATTATGATCTACTTTGTAGCAAGCACTTTAAAAAAACGGTAAAGAACTGTGGATTATAAATCAGACGGTTCTTTCTTTTTATTATATATATATATATATATATATATATATATATATATATATATATATATAATTATTTATTCGAAAATTATAACATACATATATTATAAAACCACTACAAAAATAGCCATTTTGTTTCAACACTTCTGGTGTCTTATCAAGTGATGATGTTGAATGTAGAATAAAGGTTTTTTTTAACCCTTTATTCTAGATTCAACACCATCACTTGATAAGACACCAGAAGTGTTGAAACAAAATGGCTATTTTTGTAGTGGTTTTATAACATATTTATGTTATAATTTTCGAATAAATAACTATATTTGCTCTACTCTGTATTGAGCACTTTTTTGAGAATAGTATTTGTTGGTTATTGGGATTTATTCCGTATACACCAATCCTATACTTGTATATATATATATATATATATATATATATATATATATATATATATATATATAACATGTTAGATTAAGATCTGTGAACTCCTTGTTCTTCATCCTATTATATATATATATATATATATATATATATATATAATAGGATAAATAAAAATTAGGAAACAGATCTTAAATTAATCGTGACAGGGTGTAATCGATTTCTATTTTTTTCCTCAGATTAGGCAGTAATATGAATCTCCGTGGTGTATGATGAAACTTGTTTGACCTTGAAAAATATTGCGTCATCCGTGATTGCATCCGATTTTCATCACGCTCAGACTGTCGATTAGTTGCCCTACGACCATTGTCTGTGATGGGCATTACTCCAAGCAGGATACGAAAATTGTAATGCTGCGCGAACACACTGTCAAGACTTAGCATTGAGCAAATCAAAGTACTATAGACTGGCTTGGAAACTCTCCTGATTTAAATCCAATCGAGAATCTGTGGTGAATCTGCAAGGAAAGACTTCTTGGAATGGACATACGATGTACTAATATGTGCACTTGAAACACGAAAAGAAAGGAAATAATAACGGAATTATTCATTTTGTTTCAATTAATTTGCACAAAAGGTATATATATATATATATATATATATATATATATATATATGTATATATATATATATATATATATATATATATATATATATATATATATATATATGTATGTGTGTGTGTGTGAAACAGGGCATAGAATCCTGGACATTTTTTAAAGAAATTTTACAAATAGAAAACGTTTTATTGGGACTAGATTTGATTACGCGTTTCGCCTTTCTAGGCTTCGTAATATCTCAAAAAAAGAAGGGAAGAAATGTGTGCTTAAATAATGAATCATTGCACTTTTTTTCCTAAGCTGGCGTTTCTCGTGATTAAAGGAAAAAGAGAATGAGTGACTTTTAAAAAAGCTGTCCATATTTATCCTGAATCATTTCTTTTCAATATGTTCTTTGTTCATGTCGAAAGTTATTAAAATAATTTTTCCAGAATTCTGCATCGAATTAAAGTAAATCCTTCATTCATCTATCTATCTATCTATCTATCTATCTATCTGGATAGATAGATATAATCTATTTAATCTTCGTTTAGATTGCAAGAATTTATCCAAACAAGCTGTGTTAAATTTTTATTCGCAATTAATAGCAAGAATAAATTTATGCAAATGATTTACTTTTGCTCAATGACAATGCTATAGATTCAGGCCAAGAGGACAAATTCAATCTTCTAATTACCAGTTTAAAAAATTAGTGCGGGCGAAACTCTTCCATCCCACTGATAGGATCGTAGATAAATATATAATTTTATATGAAAAACAAAGTTCTTGATAATGACGTACATATTTGAATGTACTTGAACAAGACAAAAGAGAGCATAAATTGTGAACAGTTTATCTATGATTCTTGATTCCAATGTACATCATCGTACCCGAATATTGGCAAAATGCAATAAACAATTTGCAACATATCTTGTCGTTTAAATTTAACAAAACTTGTTTGGATTATATATATATATATATATATATATATATATATATGTATGTATGTGTCTGTGTGTGAAAAAATTAATTTCCAACGTCCCAGTACTTGACGTAATTTTCAGTTGCTATAGCGTTTTCTAAAATCTTCTAGTTTTTAAGGACATTTTGTTTGTTGTTAATAGTTACTTTGTTTTCAATAAATTCATTTCGTTTTATATATACACTACCGATCAAAAGAGTGGGACCACCATGAATTGTTTCCCTAAGTTCATAAAAAAATTCATAAAAATTCCTTCTGGTTGCCGCATTATTGGACAAAATTTTGTTTTTCTACAAGATAATTATCCAAAACACAGCTAAAAACTATGTGCAAATTATCTCAAATCAAATGAAATAGAGAAATTTGGAAAATTATGGCTTGCCCACCTCAGTCTCCAGACCTCTCACGAATTGAAGTTGTCTGGGAAGAAATTGATCGTAAAGTTCGAAGTGAACTGCCTAAGAATAAGCAAAAATTTGCACCATTACACACTGGTTGGAAATCACTTCAACCGACATATTTACACAAGTTACTCGAAAAGATGCCAAGAATTTGCTCTGAGGTAATAAATGCTCGTGGTGGATTTTTTAATGAAAAGAAAATATAAATTTGCTTTAATTGAAATTGTAATTGTTTTATATTCATTTTGATTTAAATTATTGCGTAATTGTATGCAAACAGAGTGTTATGGGACCTTACCCATAATAACATAATGGACTATTCCATACGTAATAAATACTGCGCCTCAAGAAGAAGCAGGGAGTTCAGTCCGAAGTCGGGCCACCGGCTGACCGGCTGATCGGTTGAACTCTCTGCCTTCGGGCGGGGAGGAAGCCGAACGAGGCTACGCCAAAGAGCGGAGTCTCTTTCGGGGAGGTAAACCGACCCTGAACCCGTTTATAAGGGTTCAAAGGGCATATTTTTGGCCGAGCCCACGGGCTCGGAGATCCCACGGGCTCGGAGATCCCACGGGCTCGGAGATCCCACGGGCTCGGAGATCCCACGTTAAACCGGCCTTGTGCCACATGATGCCCTCGTGGGGGAGTGACTAAATACTGTTCAGTCTGAAGTCTGGAGTGAGGTCCGTCAGGAGTCTGTCTAACACTTTCTACTTCTCTGTATATATTCCTGTTTGTAATATATCTGTGTTATTCCATATCCGTGTTCGAGTTCTTCTTTATTTGTTCTACCTTGGACCATCACCCGGGGTACAAGGACCTGCACCATAAAACATAGAAAAAATAGACTTATTTCTATAAAGACATTAAAATTGATTCATTTTTTAAGTTTAAAGGAAAAATCAATGTGGTTGCAAAGTTTTGGTCGGTATTATATATATATCCACAAATATATTTTAATTCTAACCTTCTGCACCCCAACTTTAACTTCCGAAATGATTTGATTTTAAATTTCCCTAATAAATCATTTTTTTTATCTACCATCGCCTGACGAAATACAGTCACAGAATTGAAACATGAAAGCTTTTGTGTAGCGATGTTAAATGTTTTTATTGTAAGAATATTATAATATATATTATTTAAAGTGTGCTATATTTATTATAGAAGGGTGCTATGTAATGGGGACAGAACGTTTGTAGATATCAAGAGTGTCGACGGAGAAATCAACATTGCATGGTGACTGGCAGTTTTACTCTTTAAACGATCATTTTCCACATTTGATACTTTA